CTTTCTCTCTCTCTCTCTCTCTTTTTCTTTTTTTTCGGGTGTTCACTGCCTTCTGTTTTATTGTTACTTAGGTTCTCAGTGTTTCTTTTTCTTTTTTTTATTTTTTTGAGACGGAGTTTCGCTCTTGTTACCCAAGCTGGAATGCAGTGGTGCGATCTCAGCTCACCGCAACGTCTGCCTCCTGGGTTCAGGCAATTCTCCTGCCTCAGCCTCCCAAGTAGCTGGGATTACAGGCACGCACCATGTCCAGCTAATTTTTTTTTTTTTTGTATTTTTAGTAGAGACAAGGTTTCACCATGTTGACCAGGATGGTCTCTATCTCTTGACCTCAAGATCCACCCGCCTCGGCCTCCCAAAGTGCTGGGATTACAGGCTTGAGCCACCGCGCCTGGCCTCTTTTTCTTTTTCTTTTGAATGCTGTGGCCTTAGATACACAGTTACTTTTTCCCTTGTGGGTCATTTAGGCTCAGAGCTGGTTACTGAAATATTGCTAATGGTGATAAACCTATAGAAGATTACAAGGAAAATATGTCATTTATCTGTTTTGTCTTGTTAAGGGCATGCAGTAGGCTCTGCTTAGGACATTGAAGAAGGTCTTCGTTTTCAGGCTCTTTCCTAGTTTGAAGATAAGGGAAGTCTTAGCTCACGTGTTAACCTTTGTGAAAAAGACAGGAGTTGGCAGTAAACTTCTTTCTGGGCTCATTTCCATATGCCAAATTCTGATCTTCACTCTAGAATCCTATTTTGGTCTCCAGTGTATTTCCTAAGTTCAGGGTAGAGAGGAAGCCCTGTACCACTCAGTTTTCCTCAAGAGATTCAGCCCTCAAATTTCAGAATCCGTCTGAAGTGTCTAAGACTATATACCTAGGGGCTTTAGTCCTTCTCAGGGTGTAAGGCTATTTGTGTGTGATTCAGGTTTCCTTTATCCCTGAGTTACTTTCCAGCAACACACCAGTACATGTAATTATAATGTTAGCTATGTAATACCTCATTATGTAATAACTGGTACATGTAATTATGATGTAATAAATGTGTAATACCTCATTATATAATAACATGGAAAGTTAGTGATATCACTGATAGCTCATCATTTCTGTCTTTCTTGTTTTTTTTGAGACAGAGTTTGGCTCTGTTGCCTGACTGGAGTGCAGTGGTGCAGTCTTGGCTCACTGCAGCCTCCACCTTTGTGGGTTCAAGCAATTCTCCTGCTTCAGCCTCCTGAGTAGCTGGGATTACAGGTGTGTGCCAGCATGCCCAGCTGATTTTTGTATTTTTAGTAAAGACAGGATTTCCTCATGTTCGCCAGGTGGGTCTTGAACTCCTGACCTCAGGTGATCTATCCACCTTGGCCTTTCAAAGTGCTGGCATTACAGGCGTGAGCCACTGCTCCTGGCTGCTCATTATTTGTTAGTCTCACATTTTTAGTGGTCTGTAGCTGATAGTATGCCCATAGATATTATATTAAAATATTTTAATAGTAACACTCTCGGGAACAGTCAATCTTGGTAATATAAATGTGGGTTTTTTTTTGGGGGGGGGGTCTTAAAGCAGAGGTTCTTAGAAAATGGATCATAAACTTTTAGAGGACTTGAGTTCTGTTGATGGACTTTTACCATGCACAGAGGACTTTGAAATTTGTATTCCATCTGGACATTTTTCTCCTGTCTGCAAACTCCTGTATCCAGTTGCCTATTTGACCTTAGTTGCCTAAATTTAATGTAACTCATGTTTTTTTGCCTGCTCCAAACTTTATCTTAGTAGAGGAGAGGGTATAATACTCTTTTCAGTTGTTTAGGCCAAAAGTTCTGGACTCCTCCTTGATACTCATTCTTTCCAACCCCTTATCTAATCCGTTAGTAAGTCTTGATGGCTTTGCTTTCAAATGTATACTGAATCCAAGCACTTCTTACTAATTCCACCTTCTTAAAGTTGTTAATTTTGTCTTAACCATTCAGCTTTATTGACATATTGACTTGCTAACATTTTCATTTACTAATAATATTAATAAGTCTTTGTATCTAGACTTCATTTTAAAAAAATCAGTCATTTTGGAGACTTTTCTATTGTTCTTTTTTTCCTTCTAAAACACAGGTTTTTAATTTTTCTTTTTTAATTTTTTTTAAAATTTCCATTATGATGTTTTTGGAGACTTTTAGAACCATGTTTTAGAATTTCCAAACTTGGCTTTATCCTTGTTACCTGTTTTGCTTCTAAAATTTATGTCAGAAAATGTGATCTGTATGATACTAATTCTTTGACATTTATTAAAATTCACTTGATAATTGCTCATTGTGTACCTTGGTAGGATGTGTACCTTGAAATAATTTGTCTCAGTTTTCTGTATTCCATGTACTTAATCTGTGTTTTTACTAATGTGTAAATGTGTTGTTTTTCTGCTGTCTTAGAAATTTGTCAGCTTCTTCTTGTACTTGACAACTTATTAATATATTTAAAATTGTAGTTTTAGTTTAGTATTATAGCTTTTCAAAAACTGTTATACAGCATGTGGTGACCATTTTGTCTCCAACAGTGGGTTTTGACTTAAGTGCACCGTCTGATATTAGTATGGCCGTATGAGTTTTTTCATTTGCTTTGTGTTGTTGTGTGTCTCCACTAATCTTAACTTCTGTTTCCTTATGTTTTAGGTTTATTTCTTATAAATCATGTATAACAGGATTTTAAAGTTTTCTTACTGATACCTGGTTTCATTGAGACTCTGCATTTATTGTGACTCCTAGTTTAAATTTGTAAATGATATAAATGTTCATTTCTACCATCTTATTTTGTGTTTTCTAATCTAGATTTTTCAAACTCATTCTTCCTTTTCTGTCCTTTTGGGGCATTTTCTTTATTCTCCCCTTGTCCATTGAGTTGGAAGTTATACATTATATATATAGTTGTATTATATATGTAATCTATATATGTTAGTGATTTAGTTACAGTGCATAGTTGATTATTCAAATTGAAACAGCATAACAAATGGTCCTCGTCGTTGTATCATCATCTCACTTGCATTAAACCAGTCTTTGTCTAACTTATCCTTAAAAAGAGTTCATTTTTTTTTTTTCCTGTAGTTATTAGGACTCTTCATGGAGTTGAGAAATTTCTCTTAGGTTTTGGTCAGTTATTTTATGGGGAGAATGAGCAGTATACCTTCACGTCTTTTTATTTTATTTCTTTATATATTTCGTATCTACCTAACTAGAGTGTGCTTCCAAATTGCTTATCCAAAGCTATTTGTTTCCTTCAGCAGTAAATTAAACTTTCTTTCTTTATGTTTCAACTGGTTTGTGAAACCTTTTAGGACCTTTGTAAAGTTAGACTACAGCTTCATGGTACTAAATTCTTGTTTTATCTTTTCTTCCTTTGCTGATATTGTGAGATTTTTGTTTTTGTTTACTCTTTTGAAACATGTGCTTAATCTTGCTAGCAGTGTCTGTTTTTGTCATTTTAATCTTTCATTTCAGTGTATCTCACTGATACTCATTAGTCTATGAAATAGTTTCTTTTATAGTTATGTAGTAGGGCATTTCTTTTATTAGCTTTATGTATGAAATAATGCTCTTCAAGTTCCAGGAATGTATTAAAATGAAAAAGAAAGGACTTTTAGTAACAAGGAGAACTGAGGTTCTCATTGAAATTTAAAATACAGTTTTTAGGTGGTGTCACAGAGGATGGAAAACTAAATTGACCACTTGTAAAATATGATTTGTATTTATTATAGAACATGTTTTACTCATTTACAAAAAAAAAAGAGTAGCAAAAAAGCAAAGTAAGAGTCTTATAATGTGTTAGACACCAGTGGTTTTCAAAATGTGGTGTCTGGACCAACAGTCTAGAATCACCTGTGAACTTGTTAGAAATTCAGATTCTCAGGTTCTACTTCGGAGCTCTGGGGCCCAGATGTGCCATCCAGGTATGTGACTCTGATACGTGTTTTAGAACCACTAAGTTACACATTAAATCAGGGTTGTACAGACTACTTGATGTGTTCAGTTAATAGGCATGTACAATGCTAGTCATTTTTTTTTAATCAGAAGTGTTACAGATAAATACTTGGTTACTAATAAACATTAACTTGGTTTAACTTTTGTTCAAGAAGTTTTTGCTTTCTAAAATAGGAATTATAATTTTTCTCTCAATTATGTTGTAAGCTAGCATTCAGCTGAATTTGTCTAGTACCCATCTTACTTTTTTTTTTTTCTTTGAGATGGAGTTTTGCTCTTGTTGCCCAGGCCGGAGTGCTATGGTGTGATCTCAGCTCACGGCAACCTCCGCCTGCTGGGTTCAAGCGATTCTCGTGCCTCAGCCTCCGTAGTAGTAGGGATTACAGGCATCTACCATCATGTCCAGCTAATTTTTGTATTTTTAGTAGAGAACAGGGTTCATTATGTTGGTCAGGCTGATCTTGAACTCCTGACCTCAGGTGATCCAACTGCCTCGGCCTTCCAAAGTGCTAGAATTACAGTCATGAGCCACGGCGCCTGGCCTCATCTTACTTTTTAATGTGAAATGTTATAGATGTGAATGAGAGTGTAAGATACTGAGGAAATTTGTGATTCAAAGATTTTTATTATTAATTGGAAATTTTAATTGAATGCAATTGTACTTCAATTTAATGGAACTTTTAACCTTTTTCTCCTACTCCTACCTCAGCCAATAGTTTTTAGTCTGTTTGATACCTCAAGATCAAAAACTCATTGAAAGGATTGAAAAGACATTATTATATTCTCACCATAAACAAAATCCTGTGGGACAGTAGGAATGTGGAGAGGATCTATACTCTACTGAAATAGGTCTTTGTGTTTGGAAGTTCTTTATTTAAAGTGTTTTGTGGAAATAATCTCACTATGGTATATAGAGGTAATTATCAGTTGTTTTGAATTACTTGAATTGTATGTGAATTACATTTGAATTTTATGTGGAGATGATTTACATTATATAGTTTAAATATTTAAACAATGAGTATTTCATTATAATTCTTTCTGTTTTTCTTTCAGGAGAGAAATAGAAACAAACAATAATCGTATGGAGATGTCTTGTTAAAATTACAACACTAATGATGTAGACTCTGGAAATGCCTAATAAGTCAAAGAAGACGTTATTAAAGCTTTTTTCTGCTTAAGGTGACATCTTTGAACACTTTAACACAAAATTGACTCTTGTAATGGTTTTCATCATCGCATCTGCCCTTATACTCTCACCAAACACACTTGAGAACTGTAACTTCGTCAAGCACTTTCTGTCCTGAAGCTTTTACCAGTATCTGCTGTCTTTTGTAATTATGCATCCTAGCTAAGGCACAGAAGACTGAATGAATGCAAGGATTCATTAACTCTTTGAATTTGTTAAATACTAACAGTTAACCATTAGAAGTGGTTCAATGATGTAAGAGTCACACTGCTTCAACTTTTTCTTTGTTGTAGTTTTTAAATTGTCGATTTTTAGCTATTTGACAGATTAAAAGCAAAATAATCATGCCATATTTAGTCCTGGAGTTCAAGTCTAAATGTTTATGTGAAAAATTATTGTAGTAAACTTTTAATATGGCAAAGCAACCTTAAGCTCTATTTTAGCCAAATGAAACATAATCTGAAATTATATTAGAACATTTCCCTTGTCTTCAAACTGTTTGGTGTAACAGAATATTGATATGCAGCTTGGTGGATTTCACCAGTTAATGCACATTCTTCTTCCCTCCTCCCACCATTAATATGTATACTGAAAAATGTGCATTTGTCTGAGGAATTATTTTGTTTGCTACCACTTAATGAATCTCAAAATTTTGAGTAAATGTACCTCAGTCTAATCAGACTTTTTATGACCTTTATAACTACATTTAAAACCCTTAATTCCTATTTCTGGGTGTTTGCGAGCCTGATTGCTATCATGAAGTAAAAATTTATTACTCTAGGTATTCACTAGCTAAATAAACATAGTTCTTGTTTAGCAAGCATATATTGTTCCTCAGCTCTTTTCTCCAGCTTTTGCAGTGTCCTGGCATCCTTAAAATACTTTGAAAATATGGCCTTGATCCATGGATTAAATCAGTATCTAAGTGAATGTGTTGATGTTTTATTGATCAGATCTATATAAGTGGGAATACAGCATATATCTGGATATTCTTATAGTTATCTTTTTAACATCTTATTTTTTTCATTAATTACATATCAACATTAATTTTGTATCTTGAAGCAAATTGATTTTGTATAATTAAATGTGTCAAGCATCTGTATTAATTGATTTGATGGCATAAGGTTATGAAAATAATGTACTGCCCCAGGTATTACTATTGCAAAAGGAGAAAGCTATGTAGACAGATACATTAAGGGTGAAAATAGCAATACAGTAGATTTGAATACCTTGATGTTTTGCATTACTTCAATTATGTTTACATCATGTTTAGAAATGTTTTCATTTACTATGGTCTTTGGTCACTTCAGCTCAAAAACCTAGTGATGGATATTTCTTCGATGCTTTCATTTATATAATTTTGTTTTGTACAATGTTTTTTTAAAAATGTGCAAATACTGTATTCAAGTGAAAAAATACAGTATTTGTAGATAACCATAGCTACTACACAGTTCTTTGGTAGTCCCAGTGTAGTTATATCAGTGTTTACTGAAGGGAACATCAAAATATTAATGGTATATTATAAAATAAAGACTTTCTTAAAGGAAAATTGCACCTATTTTACCTTTTTAAGAGTAAGCCATGAAACCTTGTAACATGTCTCTTAACTATTTATAATGAAAAGTGGCATTTGGGTATAGTCACCACAGCAATGTTCTACATCCCTGAAATTACTTAGGTAGGACATGTCAAAGATGACTGTCGTCATTCTGGAGGTCCTATTAGAGAATACTATAAAAGGGTGACCTTGTAGGAAGGATCTGAGTCCTCCCCCTGAGGTTCTCTTTTTTCTTGGTGCTTTATTAGCAATTCTGGATATTTTTATAAAACTAGTTACATTATAAACGGTTTCAAATGTTTAATTTACATTAGGTTTTTATGTAAGAGTGTCTTGGAAGCACTCAGCAAGCAGACTGACTGCAATAGACTCAGACATGTGAAATAAATGTAATTGAGAGTCTATTCATGGTGAGGAGTACATCCCAGTGCCTTTAACCTGGATTTCTAATCTTAAGTGAAATGGGTGCAGCATTCCTTTGGAAAAGAAAACACCATTTTTCTTTTCAAGTGATAATTTTGTGTTTTTCTCATATAAGTTTTCTCCTAAGCACCCACCTTCTCTTCCTTCTTGGTCTGTCATTATACTGCAAAATATTTTTCCACTAAATGAAATTATTACAGGTTGTCTCAAGCACAACCAACTGAATGTCTCTTAACTATGGGGACCAAAAGGGAGAGAGCCTGGGGTCTACAAGAGGAGACATATCATCAAATGTTTGATCACAAATTAAGACATTATTGGCCCAGCAAATTTCTTGCTTAATGTTTTTTTCAAGTTCTGGCTTGAATATTTCTTATTAAAGCAATTTTATGTGGGTATTTTATTTTGAAAGGTATTATAGTTTGTATATTTAACAGTAAGGAGGAAACTGTAACCAAATTAGTATTTCTCTATACATATTGGTACTTGAAGATTCCTTTCAAAAGAAACCCAGCCTTTTCCTAATTTTAGTACTTAATTTCTCTTTTTAATTTAAGTGATCTTTCTAATTTGAAAGCTGTGTTCTTTTTGAATACCATGCATGGGAGTTAAGCTGATGTTAAAACAGTTTGCAATAAAAAAAAAAAAGAATCAGCTTAAGTCATTTAATCATTTCAAGTGCATTCTGCATCCTTTAAAAATAAGTTTAAGAAATTTAAGAGAATTGTGTTTTCATTAAGTTTTGCATATCTTTTGTTATGCCATGTAAATTCCCTTTTTCGTATGATTAAAGGAAGGTTATGATAAAATGATTAGTTCATTTACATTCACTTGTAGCAGTTACACGAGAATTTGAATTTTGTCGTGTTCGGGTTTGTTCATTCCTGTGAATGATGGTACAGTTAGGTGAGATTTTCTGTTATGGTACCCAAACTCACCATTTGGTCCTCTTTAATCTTTGAGGGTTTCAATAAAAATTGTTCACTCCTATCTGTGTTCTTTCCATTTTATCTTCATAAATATGTATTGCTTGCCAGAAAACGTTTTTGCCTATTCTGTTATGGATTTCCTGATTGACATACCTGTCACATACAAATAGATTATATCACTCCTTCTAGTTGACTGTTTAAGTAGAGGGATTAAACAGAGGGAGCATAACAGTTTACTCTATTTCTTATTCATTCCAAGGAGCTTATTGACTTACAAGCCTAGAGCAAAAGAGAAAGAAAAGACCTATTTATTTTTTGTAGCAGGAGGAAATAGTGGCAGCAGCTAAAAGTCCTAATCCCCCATTCTTGGTACCAAGAAATGCTTTTCTAACATTGTCTACAGTACCCCTTGGGATTGATAGAGTTTTTATGGCAAGGATCATGGTGACTTTGGATGATGCACTGATTATTGCTGGGCTCTCTAAGGTTATTTTTGAGATAGGAAAGCTACAGAATTGTTCTGTGTTGTCAAAACCAGCAGGCTGCATATAACACTGCTGGTCTGTGACCTGGGCACAAGCTTACAGAATCACTCTAGGTGCCTACACTGCAGCAGCAGCAGCAGCAGCAGCAGAATCCTCCTTCTTACTGCCGCCGGTTGTCTGGAGAGAACAAGGGTGTGAGTCTCATCAGCATATTAACATTGAGGCTAGTCAGTCATAGTTGGGGCCTACTTTGGCTTGGCTTTAGTGACACTGGATTTAATCATTCTAGTCTATGAACCAACATATTCTTGAAGTCAGAAGTTAACTGGCCAATTCAGTTATCTTTGCTTTCTAATCACAGTACTTGCCACCACATAATCTTGATGTATTATTTTCTCATTTCTCTTGGTGCAACAGTGAGAAAAAGAACTGTTTTTTTTTTTTTTTCCCTCTCTCTCTGGTGTGTAGTAGTGGCAGTTTAAATATAGGCTATTTATAAATAGTGCACCAAACAGAATGTGTTACCTTTATAATTTTAGTTACCTATATAACATTAGGACTAAATGTAAATGAAAAATTGTTTTTGCAAAGCTTAGTGCTTTGAGGAAGGTTATGAATGCAAGGTTACTGGAGCATTCCCCACTTTTTTCTGCCACCTTGCTTGTTCCTTCATAGAACACATCTAAAGATGTATTAGATACTACAATGTTTCTTAAAACAGTATTAGATATTTCTAAGAGACCTGTCTATAGCCAGGAGTGGAATTACTGTCTGGGGGAAGATTGTAGTATTGGGAGTTGAAAGACCAGAACTAGTTATTTCTGACTAGTAACCTCAACACTGATCAAATAGTTTATTTTATTTTTAGTATTCATATTAATAAAATCAGGAGGTTTGAGCAGAAAGCATCTAAAGTTCCTTGCTGTTCTGATATTTTATAATTTATTATTTAAATAGGTAGTTTTGTGGGCTATGCTTTATTCTAGCACTGGTGAATTATTTTTAAAGTGATACTGTATATATTCATATATAACACATGTTGGTTTCCAAATATGATGTTACTTGTTTTTTTAAGAAACGGGGTCTCCTTTGGCTGCCCTGGCTTGTTTTGAACTCTGGGCTTCAAGTGATCTTCCTGCCTCAGAAAGTGCTGGGATTATAGGCGTGAACCACTGCACCTGGCCAATATGATTTTTAATAATCATCCTATATTCTATTCAAAGTATATGTCATGAATAGCCCAGAAAATATTTATTGGTTGGAACTGATCAAATATGACTGCCACTTTCAGTGAATTATGGTCCAGCGGTACAAAGTTTTCATCTTTTCCAAGTGTTAGTAAAGAGAAACAAGAAAACACGTGTCCCAAAGAAATTTAAGCTGTTTTTTACCTTCTGCCATTTCATATTTTATTTGTTTTTAAAGTAGACCTTATTTTTTAGTAAAGTTTTACAGAAAAATTGCAAAGACCATACAGAAAGTTCCTAGCACTCTGCACTCAGCACTATTAACATCTTACAAATGAATGAGCCAGTGTACATTATCACTAACTAAAATGTGTACTTTTGCAGAATTCCTAAGTTTTTATCTAATACTTATTTTCTGGTTCAGAATTTCATCAAGGATACTGCAATTACCTTTAGTTGTCATGTGTCCTCGGGTTCTTATTGGCTGTGATGGTTTCTCATTCTAGTTTTTGATGACCTTTATTGTATTGAGACATACTCAGATAATTTTTTTAAGCTCCTATCTGCACCAGAACTTACTAACATGGGGAGGAAACTGTTAGTGAAGTGCCATTTCCATCGCATCAGATCAAAGATACATACCACCAACTTTTTATGACTGTTGATGTTGAACCTTGATATCTGGCTGAAGTAGAGGTAGTTAGGTTTCTCCACTATATTACATTACTCTTCCCCCCGCCCACCTCCTTTCTGTACTGCGCTCTTTGGAAGGAAGTTGTAGTCCCCATTTGAATAGGACATTATGGTCTCTCTTATCCTGGTTGTTTCGGTGGGGAAGACAGGAATCTGTCTTCATACCTTTTGTCTGTATCTCAGTAGGCTTGTGTGCCAATACATTTTTTTCTCCTATATATTTTTAAAACTCCCTTCACCCAATTTTCCCCTGATTTTCCACAGGACAGTTGGATATTGGAGGAACTATAACAAAGACTTACTTAGTATTCCTTGAATTCTAATTGTGTGTATAATGAAGGGATTGAAGTAGTCATAGGGAATATTTAGATGAAAGCAAAATATCTTGATCTTATAGGTAGAAACAGGCATTCAGATTTAGCTGGGGGAGAAAAACGATATGGTTATTATGGTTATGGTTAGAATGGTGTATTCCCTTAAAAAGAAAAAAATAAAAATGGCTTGGCATCTGCTTTTTGATCAAATTCTTTTGAAATGCTTTTGAGCCTGCTGTGTAATGTAATGGCCAAGACCTCGGACTTCAGAGACAGATCTGTTCTGGAATCCTAGGCCGACTTCTTAACTACCTGTAAGCCTCAATTTTCTGGTCAATTAAAAAATATAAAATAATGATAACAGAACCTATTCCAGAAGGGTTTAATGAGGTGATTATCAGGTGTTTAGTATGATCCTTGGACCCATTTCAGTTTACTTGTTAACTACCTTTTGTTTCTTTGGGAGAATTTAGAATTTATTGATTGGTATTGAAGATTTTTTAGCATAGTCTTTACTGCTTCTAGCAGCTTAGAAGTTGTAGTCAAAGTTGATTACTTTCAATTTATAGAGTTACTTCATTGAGATCCTGAGACAGCTGCTGTATGAATGAAGCTTTGTTAAATTATAGCTTACCTTTGCTTTTGCTACTTTTGATTTCCAGTGTTTTCAGTGACGGCCATGCCTTTTCCAAGTAAAATATAACAACATAGAGCTTATCCCACTAGAGCAGATGGCAGAACCAAAGGCGAATTAGATTAAAAGGAAAGCAAACATGGGGAATAATGATGGTAAGAAAACCTATAAACAATAGAAGAAAATTAAACCAAAGATGAAAATTGGATAAAGAAGATGTATTTTGATTTGCTTATTACAAATGCTCCTTGATATTTAATGTCATTTAAATATATAAGTAAATCGTAAACACTTCATTTTGTCTGTTTGGTATCATTTCAGAATGGTGGAAACACTAATGCAGATGTGTTACTTCCATATTTCCTCAGTGAAGTTGTGCAACTTGAAAAGGAAGAGGTATTTGGTATACACAAACTTAGGTGGCAATTCTATTCTAGTAAACATTCAAAAGGAAGATTATATCTTAAAGTTTACACATGAAATATGAAAGCTCCAATATAATGCTGTTGCATGCTAATATTAAAGCTACTATCTCAACAAAATATTGTCATTACTATTTTGCTGGATTAAGTGACTTGGTGTCCTCTGGAAAGCAGCCAGTGCTGAGATTACAATTGGTACTTGAATCTCAGCTATTTTCTAGTTTGCTCTTGTTTGTATGCCTTCCTAGAGTTATTTGTGGTTCTTTCTGAATTTGTTGATTCCAGTTATACTTGTTTTATTATGAAACTTAAATATGTAAGTTGATGAAATGTGACTGAAAAAGAGTTGTTTCTAAGAAAACTAAGTAGACTACTTTGGAAACACCTGGTAAAGGTGAGTAGTCTGATTAGGTGGATGAAAACTATTAAAAGCCATGAGACAATCACAAAAATGTAGTTTTTATTTAATTTGTAAGTGTGTTTACACTCATTCCACTGAGAAAATTTAGAGGATACTTAAGTGTATCCTTCTATGAAGGTATGCTTCATAGAAGAAAAGTATTAAGGAATTGAAATAGCAGACCTATTTAAAGAAAAAGTCTTGGATCTATATCAAATAATTGAATTAAAATGTCTGTTTTAATTTAAATTTTTAAAGTAGGTTTGTATCATTTAAAGTCCAAAAAACATTTTTCCTCTACATTAAACAAGTTGAATATCTTCTGCATGTGGCTGCATGTGAACATATGTAATAATAAGCTGTTACGATATCTTTGTAAATAAACCTAATAAAAAGTATTCATGCCACTTAGAAAAATATAATGTGCTAGCACATAATTAAGTGTCTAAACTGTAAGAAATGTTTTCTCTGTGAAATGGTGGGAGAGAAGAAATGCACCCAACGTCAAGTCTTGGTATCTAAATTAATTAATTGAATAATTTGAGCCAGGGTCTGGCTCTGACACCCATGCTGGAATGAAGTGTGCGATCTTGGCTCACTGCAACCTGCACCTCCCCAGGATCAAGTGATCCTCTCACCTCAGCCTCCTGAGTAGCTGAGACTATAGGTGTGTGTCACCACATCCAGTTAATTTTTTGTATTTCAATAGAGAAGGGGTTTTGCGATGTTGCATGGGCTGGTCTTGGACTCCTGACCTCAATTGATCGGCCCGCCTCACCCTCCCAAGGTCTGGGATTACAGGCCATCTGCCACCTCACCCGGCCTTGGTATCTAAATTTAAAGCCACTGAAAACACGTCAGGTCTTGGGAATTGCCATGTATAAACCATTTCTTTTAGAAGGGCACATTTTGGTTCTCAGAGCTTG